TCTCCCCACCAAAGTCAGTGACACTGTCCTCTTCCCTAGGGGCATAACAAAATCCAGTCAGCTTGGACTTTCTTACTGGGCACAATGAAGCCTTGTTCCCCGGCTGCTGACACGAAAAGCAAATAAGTTTTTGACTAGTGACAGCTTTGAGCCCTTGTGTACTCTCTTAAATTCTCGAGATTGGTGACTGAGTTCAGACCCACTCCCACCAGTATGTTGGGTGTAACATGCTTGACCTCTGGGTGGTTGAGAGCGAGGACCAGTTTGGTGAGCGTTCATGTACTGCTGGGCCAACTTTGCTGCAGCAAGACCTGATGTAGGCACAAGCTCCTTAACCCAGGTACGACTGTCATAGGGCAGCACTTGAAGTAAGTAACTGTTCCAAGATAATGAGCTCTCTGACCTCCTCTTTGGTATGCAGATCTGGTCTCACCCAGCACTGGTAGAGATTCCGCAGACGATTATATGTTTCTGTTAGAGACTCCCCCTCTGGTACTGTTGCTGCCCGTTGGCGGTAAGTCTCTGGGGAAATATTGAATTTCTACAGATGTGAATCTTTCAGGTTGTCATAGTCATCTGCTTGATTCTCATCCATGGCAAGGTATGCCTCCTGTGCTTATCCAGTCAACAATGGTACCAACCGACAGCTCCATTCTTCTCTTAGCCATCGGCAAGTTGCAAGCCGCTCAAACCGCCGAAGGTAGTTCTCGATGTCGTTCCCCTGCTGTAGAACTGGCATCAGCATCTCCGTTCAATGAGTTGGCGAGCTCCGCTGACTGGAAGCTCTGGGTGAGTCGGAAGGTCAGATCCGGGCATTGTCTGTGGGCATCCTTGGTGGCGCAGGCTTTGGAAGATCCATCCGCAAGCTCCCGGGATCACTCGGGGTCAGTGGTGCAGGCCGGACCATCTACAGAATCGATTCTTTTAACCCACGGAGTTCCAGAAGATACCTCTGCCTACTTAACCTCTGCGCACTGAGAAACTATTTCATAAAGCTCACCATCCCTTCACTGGAAGCTGATGGGGTAGCTCCACTGGATTGAGATGGGCCTGGCTCGCTCAGGGCCCTTTGAAGCTCCACTGATGACTCCTCCTCTTCCTCAGAAGACGTTCCCAGTGTGTCCCAGGCCACATCCTCTTTAAAAGCAGCCTTTGCTTGGAAGCGCAAGCCAGGCCTTTTTCCTTTCAGCGCTCTTTTACAGAAGCTCTCCCACTTCTGACACCAACTGTGATGCAGTAGGTCCTTGCAGACCTACTGGGAGACGTTTAAAGTCCAACAAAACAAAATAAATGATGGCTCAGCCCGTAGAAGCATGTAAGTGCAAGGTGATGTTTATTTACAGTTCACCGTTGAAAGGAAAAAGCATTCCAGTAGTGAAATTATTTACATAAGTTCTCTGTCCAAAATCAAAGTATAAAAAAAAGTTACATTATTTATATATATATATATATATAAATGTATATACAAATGTGTATCCACAATTTATGGTCACTTATGGCGCTTTTCCACTGCTTGGTATGGTTCGGCTCGGCATGGCTCAGTACGGCACGGCTGGGCTAGGCTCAGTTTTCGTTTCCACTGCAGTTTGGTACTGCTTTAGAGTGGGCGGGATTATTCACATGTAGTTATAGTTGCGCCACCTCTACTGCTGTAACTCCTGAAAATTTTTTTCATTCCGCGTCACCCCATCAAGCTCTCGCTGGATCCGCTCCTCGGCTATCAATGAGAGGAACATCTGTACTTACTCAACAGACCACGAAACAGCCATTTTTTTGGTTGTTAAAAAAGGTGCGCTCGTTCAAAATAGTTGCGTTCGATCCTTCGCTGGCTGTGCTGATTTAAATCTAGCCGTTCTTTTATGTTTGTGTCGCAAGTTCAGTGACGCAGGTAGTGACGATTCTCTCCGGCCAATCCGTGATCAGCAGAGTTTACACATCGCTGGCTGTGCTGATTTAAATGTAGCAGTTCTGTTGTGTCTCGTGTCACAAGTTCAATGACGCAGGTAGCGATGATTCTCTCGAGCCAATCAGTGATCAGCAGAGTTTACACGTCACGTTTTGGTAATGGTACAGTTCGCTTGGAACCGCAAACGAGGTGGTACTGAAAAAAGTACCAGGAACCAGGTACTGTACCCAGTGGAAAACCCCCCAAAAGTGAACCGTACCGTGCCGTACCATGCAGTGGAAAAGCGCCATTAGAAACTGTTCACGGTACCGCAGTAGCTCACTTGCATTTGACTTGGTAAACAAGTACCAGATTTGAGGCCAGGCTCCATCCCCTCCTTGGGACTGTACCATTCACAGGTAAGTGTCGCTAAGAACATTTGGTACATATGTATGAAAACATATTAATAAACACATAAACATCATCAAACATAATTATCACACCAAAAGAGTAAACATTTAACATGACCACAACCAACTGACTTGTAAACTTCTGTCTCTTTTACAGACACGAAAACCGTAATACCCCACACAAAACAGAAATGGTTTCGTCGGACTCCGAACACACGGTCAGTGACGTCATAACTGGCCGCTGTTCGATCGTTTAGTTTAGCCGGCACAGCTCTATAACACGGAAGTCCGACTATCGCCCAATCACACACAAACCAAGACAAACCCCCCCCCCACAAA